TTGGTCGGTCGTGGGCCTGAACTGTGGGCCTGGGCGCTATCCTTGAGCTCTTCAGCTCAAGGCTAGCGCTCTACCATTTGAGCCACAGCACCACTTCTGGCTTTTTCTGCTTGTGTGATGCTGAGGAATCGAACCCAGGGCCTCATGCATGCAAGGCAAGCATTCTACCACTGAACCACCTTCCCAGCCCCCCCTACAACTTTTTTTAAGCAAAACATTAATTTTTTTGGTCCTCACTTTAACCCTGTGAACAGTGTCCGTATTAGTAATAAGGAAGCGGCAAGAATGTAAAAGAACCACTTGATTATTTATAAGCAGTGTCCTTTCGGACAGTTTTCCTATTTGTGAGGCCTGTGTCATACTAGTTATGTATATATATATTTTTTTGCCAGTCCTGGTGCTTGAACTCAGGGCCTTGGCACTGTCCCTGAGTTGCTTTTTGCTCAAGACTAGCACTCTATCACTTGAGCCATAGAGCCACTTCTAGCTTTTTCAGTGTATGTGGTACTGAGGAATTGAATGCAGGGCTTCATGTGTACAAGGGAAGCACTCTACCACTGAGCCACATTCACAGCCCTAGTTACATGTTTCGACTTTCACTTTGAAAGCAGCGTTATATTTAATAGTACTTGCTCTAAGTTGCATGGTTAATAAGTGACAAAAATAATGACAATACCCTAACAGACTCAACAGTTCCTAATGTGATTCTCCTTCTAAGGAGTTAGTAATCCTTTCACTCAAAATAGTGATAAATTCATGTTTAAGACAATATTTTCTTTAGCTAAATAACAAAAAAATGCATGAAACAAGGCTGTTTCCTGTTCTCCCTAAATTAAAAAAAATATACTCCTTGGATAGTATTTAGTAAATGTTTGCAATAATTATCCTTAGAAGGTATCCCTTTGTTACCTCTGGTAGCAAAATACTACTGAGTGGATAAAATGATTTTATCTTTGGCCGGGCGCTAGTGGCTTATGCCTGTAATTCTGAGTACTCAGGAGGCTAAGATCCCAAGAACTGAGGTTCAAATCCAGCTCAGGCAGAAAGATCCATGAGACTCTTATCTCCAATTTACCAGTAAAAAAGCCAGAAGTAGAAGTGTGGCTCAAGTGGTAGAGCATCAACCTTGGACAAAAAAACCAAGCAAGAACTAAGGCTTAGGCCCTGAGTTCAAGCTCCAGTACTAGCAAAATTATTCAATATTAATAATAAAAGCATTCTAAAGCCAGGTGCTAGTGGCTCATGCCTGATCCTAGCTACTCAGGAAGCTGAGATCTGAGGATCGCGGTTCAAAGCCAGCCGGGGCAGGAAAGTCCATGAGATTCTTATCTCCAATAAACCACTCAGAAAACCAGAAGTGGTGCTGTGCCTCAAGTGGTAGAGTGCTAGCCTTGAGCTGAAGAGCTGAGGGACAGCACCCAGGCCCCAGAGTTCAAGCCCCTTGATCTACCCCCCCCAAAAAAAAAGCAGGGGCTGGGAAGTTGGCTCAGTAGTAGAGCGCTTGCCTTGCATGCCTGAGGCCCTGGGTTCGATTCCTCAGCACCATATAAGCAAAAAGAAAAAAAAAAGCCAGAAGTGGCGCTGTGGCTCAAGTGGTAGAGTGCTAGCCTTGAGCTGAAGGGCTGAGGGACAGCACTCAGGCCCAGAGTTCAGGCCCCACAACTGGACCAAAAAAAAAAAAGCATTCTAGCTATTATTCTGAGAAAGCTGATATCTAGTATTTCTGTGACATCAATTTTCCACCAAACCTTGTTATTGCTTCTAATCATTATTCATTTTTGAGTTGAATGCATGGCTTTGGACATTTTAATTTATGAATTGATAACCTAAGTATCAAACTGACCTGCTTTTAAAAATCATTTATTATCACTATTTAAATCTCTACACAGATTCACCAGGCATGCAAACTAATCTGCAGAAAATGCAAACGCCATGTGACTGACCTAACAGGGCAAGTGGTACAGGAAGGAACCAGGCGCTACAGACTGTGTAATGAATGTCTTGCTGAAGTTGGCATAGACAGCCTCCCCATTGACTTGGAAGCTGAGCAACATCTTATGTCCCCATCAGATGGAGATAAGGATTCCCGATGGCACTTGAATGAAGAGGAGAATAGATCCTATGTGGAAATTGTAGAGGATGGGTCTGCTGATCTGGTCATACAACAGGTTGATGATAGTGAAGAGGAAGAAGAAAAGGAAATTAAACCCAATATTAGGTAGCTATATTATGAACTACTAGAGCTGGCATGTCTGCAATCTGCATTGACTTCCTATAATTCTCTCTTTCCATGGCTGGAGTCTAGTTCACATATTTATCCTACTGACTTAAAAGAAACATTCTGATATAACTTGCATGCTTTCTGAACAGGCCATTGTATTCATTCTGAACTTTGTTCCTTAAAACATGTTGCTGCACCGGAAAGAAAGACCTGGCTTGAGCTGGCATGATGGATGAATAACTGTCCTTTTATGTTATTATTGATACCTTTTCTCTTTTAATGTTGGAAAATCTATTTAGCAAACTTTTTTCAAAAAAATATTTTAAATAAATTTATCACAACCAAACTTTATGTAAGACAGTTTTAAGATGTTTCAAACACACACACACACACACACACACACACAGTCTCTCTCTCTCTCTCTCATTTTGACAATATTAAATTTCACAAGGAACCAAGTAGAAATATAGTTAAGGGTCTCATAATCACCTGCCTGACCGAATAAGTCTTTCTACTAATTGTAGATCTGAAACGACCTATCATTATTCCTGTCTCCTGAGTGGTTTAGGATTGTGGCAGAAGACTAATATGCTTCATATTGAAATTTTTGTCTTTAAAAGGCATTCCTGTTTTTGTTTTTTGGGTCCAGTCCTGGAGTTTAGAACTCAGGGCTTGGGCACTGTCCTTGAGTCTTTATGTGCTCAAGGCTAGCACTCTACCACTTGAGCTACAGTGCCACTTCTGGCTTTTTTGGTTTATTGGTACTGAGGAATCAAACCCAGGGCTTCATGCATGCTAGGCAAGCACTCCGCCACTTGAGCCACATTCTTAGCCCCTAAAAGTCATTCTTTTAAAACAAAACAGGGCTGGGATGTAGCTCAGTGGCAAAGCGCTTGCCTAGCAAGCGCAACGTCCTGGGTTCGATCCCCAGTACCAAAAAAGAAAAGACAAAAAAAAAATACAGTTAAAACAAAACAAAAATCCTAGATACTGACCAAAGAATATATGCTGACATTACTTTTTAGCTTGCTTTGAGTTTTTTTTTTTTTCTTTGTTTCGTTTTTGTAGTAGAGTTTGTCAAAGACCTTAGATTGACGAGGTAGGCACTCTTCCACTTGGGCAATTCCCCCAGTTCTATTTTTTCAGATAGGACCTAAGCTTTTTATCTGGTATAGGCCTCAAACTACCATCCTCCTATTATAGCTCTCCCACATAACTGGGACCACAGCCATTTACCACCGTACCCAGCTTGTTTTTATTGTTCTTGTTAGTGGTGGTAACAGGGCTTGAACACAGAGCCTCATATGCTTACTCAGTTTTGTCATAAATGGTGCTCTACCATCTGAGCCACAGCTCCACAGTGGCTTTTTGGTAGTTAGAGTTTTATAAACTTTTCTGCCTCAGCTGGCTTTGAACCTTAGATCTCAGCCTTCCAAGTAGCTAGGGTTACAGACATCAGCCACCAGCATCCAGCATCCATCTTGTTTTTGAGACAAGAGTCTTGCTAATAACTTTTGCCCTGGCTAGTCTTCTTTTATTTTTTTTGCCAGTCCTGGGGCTTGAACTCAGAGCCCGAGCATTGTCCCTGAGCCTTTCTGTGCTCAAGCTAGCACTCTACCACTTGAGCCACAGCGCCACTTCTGGATTTTTCTGTTTATGTGATACTGAAGAATCAAACCCAGGGCTTCTTGCTTGCTAGGTAAGCACTCTACCACTAAACCACATTCCTAGCTCTCCTTCCTTCCTTCCTTCTTTTTTTTTTTTTTGCCAGTCCTGGGTCCTGAACTCAGGTCCTAGGCACTATCGCTGAGCTTCTTTTGCTCAAGGTTAGTACTCTACCACTTGAGCCACAGCACCACTTCTGGCTTTTTCTGTGTATGTGGTACTAAGAAATTGAACCCAGGGCTTCATGCATGCTAGGAAAGCACTCTACCACTAAACCATATTCCCAGCCCCATCAGGCTAATGAAGACTGAGTAGCTGGCATTATAGATGTAAACTGCCATGTCTATCTAGTCCTTGTTTTGTTTTTGAGACATGGTCATAGTATGTATCTTAGGAAGGTCTAGAACTCATAGTATAGTCCAGGATGTCCTTGAACTCACCTGCTTCAACCTTCCAAGTGCTAAGATTACAGATATTGCCACCTGCCTGACTACAAAATATCTCTGTGTCTGGTGTGTGTGTATGAGTGTGTATGGGTATACACTGGTCCTAGGGCTTGATCTTAGGGCTTAGGTGCTGTCCCTGAGCTCCTCTACTCAAGTCTAGTGCTTTACCACTTTGAGCCACAGTGCCACTTCTGGTTTTCTGGTAGTTAATTGGAGATAAGAGTCTCATGGACTTTCCTCCCCAAGCTGGCTTTGAACTACAATCCTCTGATCTTAGCCTCCTGAGTAGCTAGGATTACAGGTGTGAGCCACTAGCACCCAGCTACCAAATATAATTTTTTAAAATGGTTTGTGCAGAAGATATATCAATATAGTTCTCTTACTCTTTAAAGAAAAAAAAATAAATCCAACTAGGATGTTCTTACCAGTTCTTAATAATCTTTGCAGGGCTGGGAAGGTAGCTCAGTGGTAGAGAGCTTGCCTTGCATGCATGAGGCCCTGGGTTCAATTCCTTAGGACTGCATAAGCAGAAAAAGCTGGAAGTGGCACTGTGGCTCACATGGTAGCACACTAGCCTTGAGCTGAAGAGCTGAGGGACAGCACCCAGGCCCAGAGTTCAAGTCCCAGGACCAACCAAAAAAAAAAAAATGTATCTTAACTGCCTATAAGCCTAGCTACTCAGGAGGCTGAGATTTGAGGATTGCATTTCGAAGCCAGCCCAGGCAGGAAAGTTTGAGACTCTCGTCTCCAATTAATCACAGAAAATGCCAGGCATAGTGCTGTGGTTCAATTGGTAGAGTGCTAGCCTTGAGCAAAAGGACCTCAGGGACAGTGCCCAGACCCAGAGTTCAAGCTCCAGGACCATCTCCCACCTCCTCCACCACAAAAATGTATCTTAGAGTTAGTCACATAGTACTAGTAATGCTGTTGATAAACTTATATGTTAAAACTATTTATATGTAAATTTAAAATATAAAACCATTTGAAGAATTATTCTCTCTTTAAATGCTTTGGGCATTATCTTGTTTATATTTTTTCAAAATAAACTTTTCCTTTTGGATACAAAGTTAAACTCCTCCCCTGTGTGAACTTAAATTCCCAAAGTATAGCTAAATTAAAGAAGTATTATTTTTTTTTTTTTTTTGTCGGCCATGGGCTTGAACTCTGGGCCTGGGCACTGTCCCTCAGCTCTTCAGCTCAAGGCAAGCGCTCTACCACTTGAGCTACAGCGCCACTTCCAGTTTTCTGGTGGTTTATTGGAGATAGGAGTCTCACGGTCTCTCCTGCCTGGGCTGGCTTTGAACCGCGATCCTCAGATCTCAGCCTCCTGAGTAGCTAGGATTACAGGCGTGAGCCACCAGCGCCCGGCTAAGAAGTATTATTTTTAGTTCTAAACATAAAACTTAAAATATCAGGGGGCTGGGAAGGTTGGCTCAGTGGTAGAGTGCTTGCCTTGCATGCCTGAGGCCCTGAGTTTGATTCCTCAGCACCACTTTTTTCTAAAAGAAAAAAGCCGGGAGTGGCGCTGTGACTCAAGTGGTAGAGCGCTAGCCTTGAGCTGAAGAGCTGAGGGACAGCGCCCAGGCCCCAAGTTCAGGCCCCATGACTGGACCAAAACAAAAAAAAAAAAAACAACTTAAAATATCAAGTCTGGAGATGTAGCTCAGTGGTAAAACACTTCCCTAGCATGTGAGGCCCTTGGTTCAATCCTAAGAACTAGAAAAAAAGCTCCGGGAAGTTGGCTCAGTGGTAGAGTGCTTGCCTCGCATGCATGAAGCCTTGGGTTTCATTCCTCAGCACCACATATGCAGAAAAAGCCAGAAGTGGCGCTGTGGCTCAAGTGGTAGGGCACTAACCTTGAGCTGACAGGCTGAGGGACAGCGCCCAGGCCCAGAGTTCAGCCCCCACAACCAACAAAAAAAAAACTAGAAAAAAAAATCTAATATCCAAAGAAACAAATGTCACTCATAAAAATCTCTGCAAATTGCCACAGTGAAGCTTAATGTAATTAATTAGAGATGTAAAGGCTCCAGATATTACACTATCATCTTTTAATGCCATGACATACCATAGATGTCTCTTCTGCTGTTGACATGTCTTACAATGTAGTCTAGGCTGACCTCAAACTCATGGTCCTCATGCACCACCATACCTGACAGGGTGGTGAAAATAATACCTTTTTGTTTGTATTTTTGTTTTTGTTAGTCATGAGGCTTGAACTGGGTCTGGGTGCTGTCCCTCAGCTCTTCAGCTCAAGGTAAGCATTCTACCACTTGAGCCACAGCACCACTTCCAGTTTTCTGGTGGTTCGAGAGCAGAGTCTCATGAACTTTCTTGCCTGGGCTGGCTTTGAACTGTGATCCTCAGATCTCAGCCTCTTGAGTAGCTAGGATTACAGGCATGAGCCACCACTGCCCAGCCATTTATTTTTTTATTTTTTGGTTGGTCATGGAGCTTGAACTCTGGGCTTGGGTGCTGTCCCTGCACTCTTCAGCTCAAGGCCAGCACTCTACCATTTGAGCCACAGCGCCACTTCCAGTTTTCTAGTGGTTTATTGGAGATAAGAGTCCCATGGGCTTTCCTGCTGGGGCTGGCTTTGAACCTCAATCCTCAGATCTCAGCCTCCTGAGTAGCTAGGATTACAGGTGTGAGCCACCAGCGCCCAGCTACATTATTTTTTCTTATAAATGATTTTCAGTTTGTGGGCTACAATGATTACTTTCTTTAAAATTTTTTCATAAATAGATGAATAACTACTTTGTTTTAGAATACTTAATTTTGAGACTTTTCTAAGATATACTTGATGGCCAATTTTCAGTTGTTTTAAGACTGGCTGGGGCTAGGAATGTGGCTTAGTGATAGAGTGCTTGCCTAGAGTACTTGCATGAAGTCCTGGGTTCAGTTCCTCAGTACCACATAAACAGAAAAGGCCAGAAGTGGCTCTGTGGTTCAAGTGATAGAGTGCTAGCCTTGAGCAAAAGAAGCTTAGAGAAAGTGCCCAGGCCCTGAGTTTAAGCTCCAGAACTGGCAAAAAAAAAAAGACTGGCTTGGTACATTTAACTCATTGTTCTCAACATGACCTACCTTTATTGTTATTAACTAGTTGTATCTTAGCAAGGCAGGTACCACTTGCAATGTCTTATCAGAGTGAGGATAGCATTTGGCAGAATTATAAACTGATTTTTAGTCGTTAGACCAATAAGTAAGATGGCCAGTTTGAGCTTTACTTACATAGT